AAAAGTTGAGGTCCAATTTGCATCCACCAGTGGCCGATTCTGCGAAGGCAGCTTGGAACTGCTGTCTTTCGAGTCGAGCTTGCTTTGGGAGAAGCCAGGTAAATTCTTGTTGTTTGTCCTCTCTCAGAGGTCTTCTTTCTGCTTTGTTCCCCAGATAGCGAAGCTATGGGGTTCTGACTTCAAATAAGAATGATGTGGCTGTGCGCGCTGTCGAGACAGGGTGCTGTGAGCTGGCTGCGCGCGTGGTCGAGACAGGATGCTGGGTGCTGTTGGCTGGCTGTGCGCGTGGTGTAGACAGGGTGCCGGGTGCTGGGTGCCAGGCGCTGGGTGCTGGATGCCGGGCGCTGGGTGGGTGCCGGGTGCTGGGTGCTGTGAGCTGTCAGCTGGCTATGCGCGTGGTGTAGACAGGGTGCTGGGTGCCGGGTGCTGGGTGCTGTGAGCTGGCTGTGTGCATGGTGTAGACCGGGGTGCTGGGTGCTGGGTGCTGTGAGCTGGCTGCGCGCGTGGTGGCGACAGGGTGCTGCAAGCTCTCAGGATAAAACCTGGGATGTGGTTGATTGCGTGAACATCCGTATACCTCAGTGTTTGAAAATATTTTGTTTCCCCAGATAGCGATAGCTATGGGGTGCTTACTTCCAATAAGAATGGGCTGGCCGCGCTTTCGAGAAAGGGTGCCGGTGCTGGTGCTGGCGCTGAGTGGCGGCGAGTGCTGTCAGCTGGCTGTGCGCATGGTGTAGAAGACAGGGTGCCGGTGGCAGCGCTGGTGCTGGGTGCTGGTGTTAGGTGGCGGAGAGTGTTGTAACCTGGCTGTGCACGTGGTGGAGACAGGGTGCCGGTGGCAGTGCTGGTGCTGGGTGCCACTGTGAGGTGGCTGCGCGCGCTATTGAAGCAGGATGCTGGTACTGGGCGCCGCTGCTGTGAGGTGGCTGCGCGCGTTGTGGGGACAGGGTGCTGGTGCTTGGTGCTGGGTGCCGGTGCTAGTTGCTTGTTCCGGTGCTGTGAGGTAAATGCGCGCGCTTTCAAGACGGGGTGCTGTTTCCGCGCAGACTTTCGCACACATCAATCTGTTCGCGCAATATCACGCCATGTCCAGCGACATTTGTGTATCTGTATTGGTATGACCGGGCTCATTGACTCGTGAGGGCAGGGTGCTGTCCAAAAATATTTTTGGCATGTTTTTGCTATCTGGCGTCTATGCTGGTCTAATTTCCCCTTCAACCAATCCGCTATACGCCCCACAACATTGAGCGATTAGATCCAGACCGCAATTGCCGCGTTTTGCTACATGGAGACTCTGCTGTAACTCTGCCTGAACTCTTAACTCCTCAGAGCACAATGTCGCGCTGTTTTAACTATGAGCTATGTCTTAACGTACTTTGTGTCTTGCGGGAAGCTCTGTGGGGTGCCCTTCCAGGCTGTGCCACGCTGTGGCGAATCTGAAGTTGCTGAAATACTGACCTCAATGTCTGACGCTGTAATGAGTCGGTCAGATACCTCACGGAGCCTCGGCGCCAGGATGCACTGGTCCCCCTCAACGAGGCTGAACTCAGTGATGCGCTGGCCTCAATTTCTCAGAGCTCTTTTGCCTGGCTCACCCAGCGATGTCCAAGTGAGGCTGTACGGAGCGTGATGGAACAGCAACCAAATTGGAAAGTGGAGGTGGGAGCATGCGCGCGCCCGCGGCGACCGCACGTGAATGCGTACAATAGGGTCAGTATAGTGGGGGCGCGAGAAATGATGCTCCATGATTTGTCCGCGTCTTCCAGTCCTGTTTGTGTGGACAATATGGAAGGCAATTTGCAGAATTCCGCTCACGTCAAAAGATTGTGTGTAAACTGCTTTCAGAGTGGGTGGCACGCACCCAAGATGTCCCAGACAGATGGGGGTCCATATAAACCAGCTTTTGGAGGCTGTGCCATTTGATTGTTCTTCTGATGAACAAAGGCAACATCCCATGTCCTTAGTGAGGCAGGGTCGCTACACCACCACGGGGTATAAAGCAGGAGGGTGCACCAGGTCTCCATTGGTCGTGGACTCATTCGTGCTGTCACCCTTTGCAAAACTTCTAGCAGCTGGCATTGGACTCCAGGACATCCAAAAAGAGCTCGAGAAAGCCGATGATCTCCCGGACCTCTCACACGAGACACCTCGCATCATTGAGGCGTTTAGAGCCGTGCGGTTTGTGAGATGAGCGCACATCAGTCGTGTCGCGCCGGGCTGCGCTAGGCGATGGGTGTTGCCCTCGACGCCATCCTAGCGCGGCTCCGCGTGCCGCAGCTTCGAGCGATGCTGAAGAACCACGGCATCCCGATCGGACGCAAGCGCCGCGCCGATATGCTGGCTGCTATCCGTGAAGTTCGACTCGCGAAAAGTCCAGAGCCACCGCCTGAGTTGGAAACTCAGCGCTCGTATGCGTGCTCAGAGAACTATACACGGCCGAACTTCACACATATTCTATCCCAGGACCTGTCTTCTGAAAGACATGGAGTCCTTCAAGCAGGACGTTGCCGCTTACTCTGCTCAGATAGTGATGGGCAACTGAAGACGTAATTGTGTGTTTGAAATTTGAGCACTTTTTTTTCGTGGACAGAGACATCATGAATGAATGTCCAAGTGAACATGAAAGTGGTTCAAGTGAACTTGGGGTTGGCACGCAAGTTCACTCCGAAGGAGGAATGCCTGTACTCCTCGCCCACTTTGGCGCATTACGTGAGCCTGAAGTCGGACACCACGTGGGCTCGAGAGACGATGGACGCGCTGCTCGTGCGTGAAGCCACGAATCAGGCCCTGCCTGTGACCAAGATGTCTTGCCAATGTGGTGTTACCGGTGCATCATTTTTGCACAGGCAGAAGCACTACAACGTTTTGTCGTCGGCCCAGTATTCATGACTCAGTACTACGTGGCAACCCATGTATACATTCAAAAAGAGCACCCAGAGGGCGAGCCGCAGTAGCGGTATCGATGCACAGGCGAAGCGTGATGTGACGTGGCAAGCGCTCCAGACATTGTTCTCGGAGTTGCAGCCTGCTTTTGCAGCCATGGACTCAGCGTCTGGCTTTGATCTAATTCCCCAGACAGCGACAGCCATGGGCTTCTTGCTTCCAATAAGCAAGACCTTGCTGTGCGCGCTGTCCAGACAGGGTGCCGGTGCTGGTGCTGGGTGGTGCCTGTGCTGTGGGCGCTGGGTGCTAATGGTGGGTGCTGGGTGCTGGGTGCCAGTGCTGTGAGCTGGCTGCGCGTGTGGTGGAGACACGGTGCTGGTGTTGGTGCTG